AGCAGCCTCTGACTATAATGGCTACCTCAGAGACCAGACAGGAGGCATTAAAAATTAAACAACAGAAGAGTCAATCGGCTTCCAATCTCGGGTTTATAGACAGGAAAATGCTTAATGACAGGTGGTCTCTGTAACAGAGGTGGCCTCGGAGAGACATTTCTCTTGATTTTATTTTTTAATTAACTTTCCAGTATTTTGTCCCTTTTTTTTTCTGTCCCTGATGGAATGATAAATACATGATAAAAGACTCACCACGGTTTCTAGAGCAGCCCAGGCCACCTCACCACGTGGCTGCAAGGGGAGGGGGTCTTTACAGATTGGTCTGTCTCGGAATTCTAATACTGCCAAGTGGCACACATGGGCTGTCATAATAGGGTCCCCAACTGCAGATCTGAAAGCTAAAGAGTGCAGTTCTTCAGCACTTTTACTGACAGTCTCCTAATTACACATCCCAAGCCCCGTGAAACAGCGTCCCTCCTAGTGAAGGGTCTCTCCCGTCCTCTGCAAGACACACCCGTAGGTTGAACACATTTTATTCAGCATCTATTAACTATGTAGGCATAGTCCAAGTCATACTATGTGGCATTGAGATAGCCATATATTCTGAATTAGAGTAGGGTCATAATTAAATTTTACGTAATCTATACATACATACGCATATATAACATGGTCATTATAACCAGCAAGCAAGTCATATCTTTCTTCACTATTAATGCTGCCTATCTCAAGGCCACAATCGCATCTGATTCTCATCATTACCTTGGGAGAGAGCAGTGTCATTCTACTCATTGCATAGAAGTCGAAGCTAAGGCTCAGAGAGGTTGAGTAACTTGCATAAGGTCACACAGCTAGTAAGTGCCAGGGCTGAGATTTAAACCCAGGCAGTCTGACTCCAGTGATTGTGCTCCTAACTCTCTCAAAAGATGGAAGAATATGGGTGTGTCTTGGGGAATGAGGGAAGAAGAAAAAAAGAAGAAGAATCTGGGAAATGTAGCAAGAAACTAGATTGTACAGGATCTCAAATGGCATGAGAAATCACCTGAACTTTATTCTGCAAGAAGGAAATATGAGCATTTGAATGAGAGGTTTTTAAGTAAAAGGACTGCCAAAACTCCACTTCATCACTTTATTTCTATCAAAAATTACATATATATATATATATATATATATATATAATTTTTATACATATACTTATTTATTGCTTGTCTATTGTGCCTCTTCCTTTGTTATTATGGAATGAATGTGTCACACGAATGACTTTTAGTTCTCTGCCAATCCCCCATGTCTGGCACATATAAGGCACTTCATATATTGAGCGAATGAACCCAGGAAAGCAGGTTTGAAGTTCCAGTGCCACCCTAAGCTTGGGTCACCTGGGTTCCTTGGCCTAAATGCACTGCCAGCTCCCACAGTGATGTTGATGAACATGGCTCCCACATCTGGCTCCATGCAGGGCTCCCCATCACTCACCCCAGACGTGGAATATAACAGCCCAGCCTCAGGTGTCCTTAGCGGACAAAGTGCCCTTGTTCTGGTCTAATGATGGTGGCAGGAATTATCTGCTTTGATGGGGATTCCTGTCAAAAGAGGTCAACCTTGCCTATGTGCTGTGTAATCAATCCCTCTTTAACATTCATTGTTGTATCACATAGCTTCCTTTGAACAATAGCAAAAGAAAAAAAGAAGAAAAAAACACAAACCCCCTCGTCTGAACCCACCCCTCCTTGTTCACACTTCGCTTCATTGCCTCCTCTGTACTGTCCACATTTAGTACAGAGCACTTAACCTTCTGCAGGATATTTTTATGCTCCATTTTCTGTGCTGTTATGAAGGAGATGAAAGGAAATGGAGTTCACTTTGGATGGACGCTGCCATCCCCCATTGATGGGCTTTCCCGCTTCCCAAAAGGGAGAGCCAGAGGCAAAGTGAGTGAAGGTGTTTTCACATTAAATGCATTTCAGAAAGTCAGGCAGCGGAACAGATGCCTTTGCTGGGAATGCCAAACTAGTAAAACAGCTACAATTGATCCGCCAGGATAAGAGCATTTACTTAGTAACAAAACAGACCAGGGAGAGGCCAGGTAAGAGTCTTGTTGACACATCTCCGGGGGCCTGCGCTTCTCCTTGCTAGCACTTATCACACTTAACTACTTGCTAAACTCTTTCAAGGAGATTGTGATGGTTATGTATCCCCCTGTAACTTAGTGGCTTCAAACAAAAACAGTTACATAGCAAAGTCATGCTGGGAGAGACAGAAGTTACAAGGTATCAATCAGCTAAGACCTGGGCTCCTACCCAGACTGTCATGATAATACAATGTATTGAAGCCCTAACCACCAGTTCCCGCAATGGGACCTTATTCAGAAATAGGCTCTTTGCAAATAGAGTCACATTAAGGAGAGGTTATTAGGGTAGGCTCTAATCCAATATCACTGATGTCCTTATAAAAAGCAACAATTGGACACAGGCACACAGGGAAGACAATGGTGACAACATACAGGGAAAACTTTTTATGAACACAAAGGCAGAGATTGGAGTGATACAGCTATGCACCAAAGATTGCCAGGCACAGCATTGATTCTTTCCCAGAGCCCTCCCAAGAAATCAGCCCACCCAATACCCTACCCTGGGCTTTCAATCACCAGAACTGTGTGGGGGGGTGGCGGGGCACACGGGGTTGGGGGAGGGGGATAACTGTTTGTTATTTAAGCCAACCAATGTGTAAATACTATGTTACAGCAGCCCCAGCAAGCTAATACACTGATACCACATCGCTGTTGGCAAAACAGCCTCAGAACCAGCCTCGATTCAAGGGAAATCTCAAGAGAAGGGCCAGCAAATTCCTGGCCATCAGGAAGCCGCCACAGATAATAAAGCAAAGGTTACGATTATCTTCTTGCTCAGTATTTGACCAGCCCCTAATATATACGTGGTGTACCATAAGTACTTATTGAAAGAAAGAACGTGAATAGAGCTTCAACATTCTGTTTGTTTTTCTGACTCAAATTTTGTACTCTTCTCAGTACAGCCTTCTTTCTGAAAACCCCCAGCTTTTAGTAAACAGACAAACTAGGACAAAATAGTGACCAGTGGAATGTGCTTCAGTTCTGCGTTCCGATTTCCAGTATTTCAGAGAAATACACAGAGCCCTCAGCCTGTGTGTGTACTCAGGGAAGAGGGCTCGGAGGCTGGCTGGGGCTCTAGGGACTGAGAAACTGTCACAGAATCAGACCAGCACTGTATTTCCAGCTTCCCTTATCATTAGTGACACACAGGGGCCTTTGTATCTATCTGAGAAGCTCTAATTGGAGGGCTGTTGGGTTTCCTCACGACATGGTAGCTGGTTTTCAAAAGCAATTTTCTTGTTTGGTGTGCGTGTGACCACACCAGATAAGATCACATCTGGGTGAGTCCTCCTCATGGCGGAACTCAAAGACTGACCCTTATTCTCCACAGTTTCTAGAATGACCAACCCCCTACTCCCCCCCCCCAAAAAAAAGGAATGATGATAATGAGAAAAATAAGAGGAAAAAGAATAATACAGGGCCAGCTGAGTGGCGCGTTGGTAAAGAGTTGGCTTGGGATGCAGCTCTGAGCAGCAGGGCCCTGGTTCAGATCCCACATGAGGGCCAGTGACGCTGCCCTCTACAGGTAAGATGGTGAACAACAGCTCGACCTGGAGCTGGGCTGCCATGAGTCGGGGGCGATGGCGTAGGCTGCAGTGGGGCTGGC